AGAAATAAAGAATGCAATATCTGAAATTATACACCAGAAGGAATAAACAGTAGGTTAAATGAAGCAGAAGACCAAATCAGTGTTTTGGAAGACAAGGTAGAATAAAACATCTGGCAGAGCAGGGAAAAGAAATGAGAATTTTAAAAAACGAGGAGAGCTTAAGAAACATTTTGGACAACATGAAGCATAACAACATCCATATAATGGGAATATCAGATGGAGAAGAAAGCAAGCAAGGGATTGAGAACCTAATGACCAAAAACTTCCCTAATCTGGTGAAGTAAAAAGTCACACAACTCCAGGAAGCACAGAGAGTCCCGAACAAGTTGGACCTAGAAAGCTAAAATACTAAAACACATCACAAATAAAATGACAAGCCTTCAAAATAAGGACAGAATCATAACAGCTGCAAAAGAAAAGCAGGCAGTTACCTACAAGGGAGCACCAATTAGACTGGCATGTGATTACTCAACAAAAACATTTCAGGCCAGTAGGGAGCAGTGTGAGATATTCAAGGTGATGAAAAGCAAGTACCTACAATGAAGGCTACTTCACCCAGCAAGGCTACGATTTAAAATTGAAGGAGAAAGAAGGAGCTTCCCAGATGAGAAAAAGCTAAAGGAGCTTGTTAAAACCAAACCAGTACTGCAACAAATGTTAAAGGGCTTGCTTTCAGAAGAAGAAAAAGAGAAACAAAAAAACACCCCAACAAAAAAACAGAGGAAAACAGTCTAAAAATAAAATGGCACTACATGTGTATCTATCAATATTCACCTTAAATGTAAATGGCCTAAATGCTCCAACCAAAAGACATAGGGTAGCTGAATGGATAAGAAAACAAAATCCATACAAATGCTGTTTCCAAGGCCACCATCTCAAATTGAAAGACACACACACAATAAAAATAAAGGGATGGAAAAAAATATTTCATGCAAATGGAAAAGAACAAAATGCTGGTGTAGCAGTCTTATAGCTGACAAAATAGACTTTAAAACCAAACCTATAGTAAGAGACAAACAAGGACACTACACAATGATAACAGGAACAACCCAACAAGAGGATATAAACTTAGTAAGCATTTAGATACTCAACACAGGAACACCTAAATATGTAAAGCAAATCTTGATGGACATAAAGGGAGAGATCGGCAGAAATATAGTCATAGTTGGGAATTTTAACACCCCATGGACTTCAATGGATACATCTTCCAGGCAGAAAATCAACAAGGAAACAGGGGTCTTAAATGACACACTAGATCAAATGGATTTAATTGATATCTTCAGAACATTTCACCCCAAAGCAGTAGAAAATACATACTCTTCAAGTGCACATGAAACATTTTCTAGGATAGACCACATGTTACAACACTAAACAAGGCTCAAGGAATTTAAGAAGACTGAATTCATATCAAGCATCTTCTGTGTCCGTAATGCTATGAAACTAGGAATCAATAACAAGAACGACACTGAAAAACATGCAAACACATGGAAGCTAAATAACATGTTATTAAACAATGAATGGGTTAACAATGAGATCAAGGAAGAAATCAAAAGGTACCTTGAAACAAATGAAAATGAGGATACAACAACCAAAAATCTATGGGACACTGGGAAAGCAATCCTAAGAGGAAAATTCGTAACATTACAGGCCTATCTCAAAAAAAAAGAAAAAGCTCAAATAAACAATCTAACTTCACACTTAAAGGAACTTGGAAAAGAACAACAAAAAATGCCCAAAGTGAGTAGAAGGAAAGAAATAATGAAGATCAGAGCAGAAATAAATGAAACAGCCTAAAAAAAATACAAAGATCAATGAATCCAAGAGCTGGCTCTTTAAAAAGATATACAAGATTGATAAACTTTTAATCAGACTCATCAAGAAAAAAGAAAAACGACCCAATTAAAAAAAATCAGAAATGAAAGAGGAGAAATAACAACTGATACCAAAGAAATACAACAGATTGTAAGAAAATATTATGAACAATTATACGTCAATAAAGTGGACATCTGGATGAAATGGATAAGTTCCTAGAAACATACAGTCTTCCCAAATAAAGCAAGAAGAATCAGAGAATCTGAACAGACAGATTACATCTAATTAAGTTGAAGCAGTAATAAAAAATCTCCGAACAAACAAAAGCCCTGGACCAGATGGCTTCACAGGTGAATTTTATCAAACATTCTGAGAAGAACTAACACCTCTCCTTCTCAAACTATTTTGTAAAATTCAAGAGGAGGGAAGGCTCCCAAACTCGTTTTACAAGGCCAGCATTAATTCCAAAACCAGATAAAGACACTGCAAAGAAAGAAAATTATAGGCCAATATCCTTGATAAACATAGATGTTAAAATCCTCAACAAAATGTTAGCAAACCAAATACAGCAATGCATAAAAAAGATCATACACCATTATTATGTGGGATTTATTCCAGAACGCAAGATTGGCACAACATTCGCAAACCAATAAATGTGATGCACCACATAATGAAGGACAAAAACCACATGATCCTGTCAATGGATGTAGATAAAGCTTTTGATAAAACCCAGCACCCATTTATGATCAAAACTCTCAGTAAAGTGGGAATAGAGGGAACATACCTAAACATAATAAAGGCCATATATGACAAACCCACTGCCAGCACCATACTCAATAGGCAAAAACTACAAGCATTCCCCTTAAGATCGGCAACAAGACACAGATGTCCGCTTTCACCTCTCTTATTCAACACAGTATTGGAAGTCCTTGCCACAACAATCAGACAAGAAGGATAAAAGGCATCCAAATTGGAAAGGAGGAAGTCTTTTTTGACTTTAAAACTGTCAAAAACTGTCTTTATTGCAGATGGCATGTTACTGTACATAGAGAACCCTAAAGATTCCATCAAGAAACTACTAGAACTGATCAATATATTCAGCAAAGTAGCAGGATACAAAAATATCCAGAAATCAGTTGCATTTTTACATGCCAATAATGAACTAACAGAAAAGGATATTAAGAAAATAATCCCATTCACAATGCCTTCAAAAAGAATAAAGTACCTAGGAATAAACCTAACCAAGGAGGTAAAAGACCTGTACATGGAAAATTATAAGACACAGAAGCAAGAAATTGAAGAAGATACAAATAATTAGAAGCACATGCTGTGTTCATGGATAGGAAGAATTAGCATCATTAAAATGTCCATACTACCCAAAGCAATCGATAAATTCAACACAATTCCTACCAAGATTCCAATGACGTATTTCACAGAACTAGAACAAGTATTTCAAAAATATATATGGAGCCACAAAAGGCCCCACGATAGCAACAACGATCCTAGGAAAGAAGAACACAGTTGGAGGAATCATGCTACCTAATATGAAACTATACTGCAAGACTATAGTAATCAAAACAGCCTGGTACTGACATAAAAACAGACACATAAATCAATGGGACAGAATAGAAAGCCCAGAAATAACCCCTTTATAGTTAATTAATATTTGACAGAGGATGCAAGCACATACAATGGGCTAAAGATAGTTTACTCAATCAATGGTGTTGGGAAAATTGGACAGATACGTGCAGAAAAATGAATCTAGACCACCTTCTTACACCACACACAAGAATACATTCAAAATGGAGCAAAGATTTAAAGGTTAGTCTCGAAAACATAAAAATCATGGAAGAAAACATAGGCAACAAAATCTCGGACATTGCTCATAGCAGTTTTTCATGGGATATGTCTCTGCAGGCAAGGGAAACAAACAAACAAACAAATAAACAAATGGAAATACATCAAACTAAAAAGTTTTTGCACAGCAAAGGAAATCATCAACAACATAAAAATACAACCCAAAAAATGGGAGAACATATTCACCGATACATCTGATAAGGGGTTAATATCCAAAATTTGTAAAGTACTTAGAAAACTCAATACCAAAAAAAAAAACCCCACAAAACACAACCCAGTTAAAAAATGGGCAAAGGACCTGAATAGACGGTTTTCCAAAGAGGACATACAGATGGTCAATAGACATATGAAAAGATGCTCAATGTCACTAATCATCAGAGAAATGCAAATTAAAACCACAGTGAGATACTATCTATTCTCACACCTGTCAAGTTGGCTATCATCAATAAATCAAAAAACAACAAGTGCTGGTAAGGATGTGGAGAAAGGGGAATGCTTTTGCACTGTTGGTGGGAATGCAGACTGGTGCAGCCACTGTGGAAAGCAGTATGGAGATACCTCAAAAAATTAAAAATGGATCTACCGTTTGTTCCAATGATTCCAGTTCTGGGAATATAGCCAAAGAATATAAGCACCCCTATGTTCACTGCAGCGTTATTTACAATCGCCAAGATATGGAAGCAGCCCAAGTGTCCATCAACAGATGGGTGGCTAATACAACTATGGGACATTTACACAATGGAATTCTATTCAGCCATAAAAAGAAGAAAATTTTACCCTTTATGACAGTATGGATGGACCCAGTGAATATTATGCTAAGCGAAATTAGCCAGGCAGAGAAAGACACATAGCATATGATTTCAGTCATATGAAGAATCTAATGAACAAACTGAACTAAGAGGCAAAAGAGAGACAAACTCATAGATGGAAAACAGGATGACAGCTAAGAGATGGGGAGATTATGGGGTAGAGAGATTGAGCAAAAGGAATAAAGAACTCATGGACATGGACAACAGTGTGGTAATTGCTGGGGGGAGGGCAGTTAAGGGTCTAAATGGTAACGGGAAAAAAATACAGTAACGATTAAATTTTAAAAAAAGAAATGAAAGTTTACTGTGTGATATTTTTGATATATTGTACATACAGATAACTGAAACCCAGGAATCTGAATTACTTTCCCAACAGAACTAGGAATATAACCCACATTTCCAACTTCTAGCTATCTTCCCTGGGAAGCACAAATTTTATTTGATTTAGAAATTAAGGACTTCTGGTAGGTTTTATAGCACTTTAAAATACAACATAGAAAACAAACCTAATATTACTCTGACCTGGCAATGATATCATAGAAATGCATTTTGTTTTCCCTCTCCTCACTTAAAGATTTCAGGAGATTGGTGAAAGTGCCTGAATTTTGCAACTCCTGCATGGTATCTGTAATCACATCACTGAGAAACTGCCTGTAAGGAGAAAAAAAATAAGTTAATAATATACATATTTCCCTACGTTCACAAAGGGCTACAAAAATCAGACAAGACCCAGAAGAAACATCGTAACTAAATTGGAATTATTTCTGGAATGCCAGAGTAGTTTAGTATCAGAAAATCTACGAAAGAATTCATCACATTAACAAAGTCAAGAGGAGAAAAGTTGTCTGATCCTTGAAATAAACGTAGAAAAAGCATTTGGCAAAATTCAATACACACCTATTTGTAAACAAACAAAAGCTCTTAGAATACTAGAAATAAAAGCCAACTTTCTTAACCTGAAAAGGTTTACATACCAAGGACTGATAAACACTGAATGTACCATATGATAATATAGATACATTTTGTTTAAATAACCCACATACATACCTAATAAAAGTGTCACAATTTGCAAAAGAATAATTTAGAGGCTTCAATTGTATATGAAGTTATTTTATTAAAAAAAATATTGGGGCGCATGAGATACACCACACATTGATGTTTTTCTCCCTCTCTTTCTCCCTCCCTTCCTCTCTGTTTAAAAATAAATCAATAAAATCTTTAACAAAAAAAATACCGGGCCCTGGCTAGTGTGGCTCAGTGGATTGAACGCTGGTATCTGCGAACTGAAAGGTCGCCAGTTTGATTCCCGGTGTAGGGCACATGCCTGGGTTGTGGGCCAGGTCCCCAATAGGGCGCACAAAAAAATCAGCCCTGGCTGGTGTGGCTCAGTGGATTGAGTGCCACGCTGCAGACCAAGGGTCTCCAGTTTGATTCTCATGAGGGCACATGCCTGGGCTGCAAGCCAGGTACCCAGTAGGGGGTGCATGAGAGAGGCAACCACACATCGATGTTTCCCTCTTTCTCCCTTCCCTTCTCTAAAAATGAATAAATAGAATCTTTTTAAAAAACATCAAAATTGGTAAATTTTTGTATGGACATTTTAATATTGAAAATGAAAGAAAATATACATTTTCAGCATCTTACACTTTATTATTTCAAGAAAGGTAAAAATGCAACTGAAATGCAATAAAGATTTGTGCAGTATGTGGAGAGGGTGCTGTGACTGAGCAAATACATCAGAAGTGGTTTGTGAAGTTTCCTGAAGGAGATTTCTTGTTGGATGATGCCTTACAGTCAGGTAGACTGCTTGAAGTTGATAGCAATCAAATTGAGACATTAATTGAAGACAATCAACATTATACCACATGGGAGATAGCTGACATACTCAAAATATCCAAATCAATAAAGTTATTGGTGAAAATGAAAAATGTGCCTATTATTTTACAGGAAAAAACCCAAATGGACCTCTTGGTCAACCCAATAGAGAGCTCAAGCAATCATAGTAAAATGTTAAGATTTGGTGGTTATATTGATATGTATTCATTATTTTATTTTTTATGTTTTTCCTCATTTTTGAAATAGTTCATAATTTTGAAAAAGTTAAACTATTTTAAATTTTAAAACAAGAAAGAGCTAATAAAGCCCTCACATTTTAGAGATGAGTAAACCCTGATTCAGAAAGGTTAAATGACTTGACCAAATCACATAACTAGCTTGAGACAAAACTAGCACCATATAATCCAGGTTTCCTGACTCCTAGCTCGTTGCTCATTATATTCTCTTACGTGGAAAACTTTTAAACAGCTATTTAATGCTCTGAGATAGAGTCAGCAAGAATTACACTTACTACGTTACATAGTAATTTAGATGTAATAATTCACATTCAAAATTCAATAATTTTTTCTTAGTAATTAAGTATACTAAAGTCAAGAAACCGACTGAAAAGTTATGAGCCTCACAGTAAGAATGAAAAGCACATGAAATAGACCAGGCAGTTTATTAGCAGTACCCCTTTCTGTCATGCCAGCAAATCTGGGCCACACTGATTTTAACAAGAGATTAATCTTCCAATGAAGGGGTCCTAAAATGCTTTCTGTAAAGGGACAAACAGTATATATTTTTGACTTTGCAGGCCATAAATTCTCTCCTGCAACTACTCAGCTCACTGTTGTAGTATGACCATACACAATATGTAAACAAATGGGCAATGATGTATTACAATAAAATTTATTTTAAAAAATAGACTGCAGGCTGGGTTTGGCTAGTGGCTCTAGGTAATTACTATAAGCTCTCATTTACCAAAAATCCTTACCATAATGTTATACCCTCTTTTAAACTTAACAGACCTTTTGTTAGCAAATCAGTTGACAACAACAACAAAAAAGTGAGTGAGATGGTGGAAATTGAGACTGTCTTCTTTTTTTAAAGATTTTATCAATTTATTTTTAGAGAGAGGAGAGCGGGAGAGCAAGCGAAACATGAATCAGTTATTGGTTGTCCCTCTCACACCCCCAACTGGGGACCTGTCCTGCGACCCAGGCATGTGTCCTGACCCGGAATCGGTGACCTTTCAGTTTGCAGGATGACACTCAACCCACCAAACTGAGCCACTCTAGTCAGGACAAGACTGCCTTTAAAAAAAACATCAGGATTATAGGTGAAATAAGCCAGTCAATGAACGACAAATACCATATAATCACACTTAAAACTGGAATCTAATGAACAAAATAAACTGAATAGAATCAGAGGCATGGACATATGGAACAGACTGACAGCTGTAAGAGGGGAATGGGGTAGGGGGGACTGGTTGAAAGAAGGTGAAGGGATCAGGCAAAGAACATGCATGCATGACCCATGGACACGGACAATGGTGTGGGGTTGACTGTGGGGGCAGGGGAGGAGGACAAAGGGCGGAAACTGGGCCAACTGCAATAGCATAAACAATTTTTAAAAAATCGGAATTAAAACACAGCTTGAAATTTGCCTACTTTGATGATATCTTTTATTAGTGGGTAAAGCATTACAATAGCTACCTATTTGTATCAGAATAATACTGCAGTTGCTATCATTCTCTCAATACTTGCTCCCTTACTTTCAATTATATAACACTTCCCCTAGGCAGTTGTTAGCTAATCCTAATTATCAGCAGTCACTTTGGATGTAAGGACCAATGCATAAAAGAGCAGCCAGCCACCCTTGTACCCACCCATTCTTCATCCATCTAGAAATACATTGTTACATTTCCAAAAATGCTCTCCTTCCTTACCTATCTATCTGAATTTTCTTCAGTGTCTCTGTAGTAATTATGGTCTGCCTGGTAGGTTTTTGGAGGACAAAATCTTGCATTTTGTTAAATCCATTGACAAATTGGCCTCCTTGTCTGATTTCTGCCAGCTTTGGTTCTTCGCTAGGCAAGAACACACTGGAAATTTTTGAGGTTCTTGAGACTGCTGGAGGTTTTTCTGAACTTTTTTCTTCTAAATTAATTTCATTGTTTTTCTTCTAAAAACAGTAAATGATGTTTTATGTAAGACATATTTTAAAGAGTAAAAAATGTATTAAAGCTATATAAGGGTCTCTCTCTACATTTTTCAACCTCATTTTCTCCCACTTGTAAGAAAATTACCCTTTTCTTCAGCCACACCAAGCCACATGTCCTGCTGTTTATATCTTCCTGACTTCAGAAAACATTCCCAACTTACCACCTGGTAAACTTTCAGACTATGACCAAAGGTAAAATTCTTTGTAAAATCTATTAGCAACCACTTACTATATTGTAATTATTTGTATAAATATCTCCATTAGATTGTAAATTATGAGAGAAGCAAAAGCATCTTGGAGATTTTGGTTCACCTCATATTATTTTTGGTATAAGATTGGATATTAAGTAACTGTGGTCATCTTTAAAACTCCATTACTTAGACCAATGCCTAGGGTACAGTAGAGACTTAAATGCTCATTGAACATATATGAATTTGAAATATAAAGAATGAATTCATACCAAAAAGCAGAAGTTGATAGTATAGTTAGTGGTGTATATTTCAAAGGTCATGTGGGGAAAAGCCAAAATAATTTAATTTTTTAAAAAATTTTATTTACTGATTTGCGCGAGGGAGGGAGAGAAAAACATCGATTTGTTGTTCTACTTATTTATATCTTTATTGATTGATTCTTATAAGAGCTTTGACTGGGGATCGAACCCACAACCTTGGCATATTGGGACAATAGTCTAACCAACTGAGCTACCTGACCTGGGCCAAAATAATTTATTTTTTAGATACAAACTTGAATACTAAGGAGCAATCATTACCATAGGAACAGCATATGTCTTTTCACTGATGATTCCTATTTAATCTGTGGCTGAAATCTTAAACTATGGAAAAGCTATATAATATAGTCATTATGCATATGCACTCTGAAATAAGACTTGCTTGTTTGAATCCTGGCTCTATCTCTTACTAAACTCTATTGACTTTAGGCCACTATTCAACATCTTTATGCCTCTATTTTCCCATTGGTAAAATTGGTCTAAGAATAGTATCTGCCCTCATAGAGTTATTATGAGGGTATAATAAATGTAACATACATAAAGGATTTAGAACAGTACACAGAACTATGTAAGTTCAATATTTGTTATGATTTTTAAAATTCTTGTGCTGATCCCATGCACAGAAGAAAGGTTTGTCTGCATATTGATACATAAAGCCTAGGCCTTCCACAAAATTTCAACTAGCCTAGAAATGTTTTTAAAAATACAAAAAAACACTATCTCTAAAAGGTTAATTAATACAGATTCAACCGTATTCTTCTTTATATAAACAATAAACAGAGATTCAGATCTGAGGAAAATATTTTTTGGCAAGGACAAAACAAATTGCTGCCTTAAATAAGAATTAAATTTTAAAATATTTCTTTAAATTAAAATTGATTTGATTAACTACAAAGAGAAGCCATAGAATTTCAGCAACTAAACTGAAATTTATCTGGATATAAGGAAAATTTTCAATACATGGATAGTTATTATTTTAGATTTTTTTGTTTAGGAAAGAAAGGGGAAATGTAAGGCCTAAGAAGCTCTGTTTTTCTGATTGCCCTAACCATTTTTCCTCTACCTCTATGCTTAGGCATCTGGAACAGGAAGCAAATATGTCAAATTGATTTACTGATCACTAGAAATAAATATGAATTTTTAGAAGAAAACTTTAAGGAAGCTAAATGTTCTATTTAGTCCAGACACTAAAAAAGATTTTTATTTAACCCATACTGTGCATAATATAAGGTATTAGACCTGAAGGGAAACGATAAGAAAACAGTATTTCCTTCGAGGGGTCTCTTTACAAACTTAGGTCCAATTACTCCCACTTCTGATATCTGGTATATTAGTACAGTTTCATCATTCCATTTCATGATTCTAACAAATGAAAATCTACTTGATGTCTTTAGCTATAAAAATGGCTGTAAAAAAAAGGAATAATGTTAACTAATCTTTCATACCAAGGTTATTATAAAGCTAAACAATGTAAAGCCTGTGGAGGAAAAAAATCCACATACATACTAAGGTTTTACAATGTATATCCTATGCCATACAAGTTAATTGCAGAGTAAAATTAATGCATTAGAATAACTACAGTACTATGAAGTAAAAACAAAAAAAAATTATCTTAAGAGAGCCACAATTTTTTTAAATTATGGAACTAACTTGCATTGAGAAAGAGGTTTTAGGCTACTGTTATTCAAGGTAAGAGCACAAGCCTTTACTATTTATACTTCTATAAAATCATAAAGATTCTATACAATCTTTAAGTCAGAAAATTTTTTTAGTAAATATCAATATCATTAAAAAAGAATAAAACAGCACAAAAGTTTTGTTCTCTTACTTATTAGAGAAGTGACTGCAGCTAAATGCTGTTTATATATTTGTGTTTTTCATTCTTTCTTGAATTTCTATGATGGCAAATTACAATTTTTTATGCCAAATTATCATTGATAAGTATTATAAGACTTCATCTTGTTAACTGAGTTATCTTCTTTTTTATTTTTGATACTTACTGAAGGAGACAATAAATAGGAAGGAAACACTAGTCTCTTATGTACTATTTGTTAACTATCTTAATTTATTAATTAGAGAATTATTTTAAATGCATTGAAAGGCTGAATTCTTGGGCTTCCAATCTCTGCCATTCATAAATTGATGAGGAAATTAATTTGTTGTAAAATTCCTACAATATTCATTAAGGTCATTTAAAAATTCCTCCAAAACTCAGAATGTTAGCACTGGAAGTGACCACATAGATATTTAGTTAAAACTCCATCATATGTTACAAGTGAGAAAACTAAGACCAAGAAAGTGAAATGAATTGCTCATAGCACACAACTAAATTGCAAAGGTCTCATGACTCCAAATCCAGTGTTCTATTAAAATCTTGTATAAACTTGGAAAATTTAAAAAAAGCTTTGCAAACCCAGATTATACAAATAACAATAATTTTTAAATTGTAAGGAGCAATTAAAAGGAAATTTAATTATCTAATCACAACAAATATGTACTTCTTTTCTGTTACACACACAAAGCAATTTACCCTCTCATTTATGTAGCAATTTTCATTTGTCACAGAAGCAGACATAAGAACACTTTCTGTACAAATTATATAATTTTGCTAAATTTAATAAATACGTGTTTAGGGGGTTGGGGGAGATCATTATTAACTTTATTTGTCATTCTTTATAGACATTAGTCCACTTCCACATGAAAAGTAGGGAGCATCTACTTACACTTACTATTCTACTATGATGTTGTACCATAGTCTATAATGACACAAACCATAGTAACTTACACACAGGGAAAAGTTACTGAAATAAAAAGATTTTTATATTCATGCTCCAAGATGTTCCCCCAAATATTTGTTTTTCTGTGTATAATTATGAGAATTTTTAACTCCACAAAGCTACTTTCTTCTTAGATCAATGTAGTACTTTTAATATCTACACTCGACTATTCAGATCACCAAACTTTCAGAAAAGGTTATAAAAACAGCTATCCTCTGTTAATTAGATCCAATTCCAAATCTAAGCGACTATATATGCACTTTCATAGTTTAGGGCTGCTCTAAAGTTAGAAACCTTTTCTCTTGTTTTAGAGATTTTTACATCAAATTAAGACATTTACAATGATGTGTGACAACCCAAATATCATTTTCACCTATCCTGTGTAAGAGAGTTAGGCTTTTGTAAGTTTCCTGAATAATGAAGAGCATTTTCTCAACATAAATAACATATGTTATTCTAAATGTTTTACATTTATATCAGTGCATTATTTCCAAATACTAAACGGAATGAAATTATTAGTTATATTATAATATTTGAGTGTATTATGGAATCTATTACACAAATCATTTCATGTCAATACCATACTTTATCTTAAACCTTCACAGGCACACACAAAATAGAAAACAAAATTCGCTTTTTTAAAAATTTAAAATATACTATCTACTTGAAATTACACTAAATTTATTTTCCCAAAACAGCCAATTTCCAAATGCCTTTACTTATTTTGGCATTAGGAAAGTTCAATCCATTCAAATCTTCTGTTTTGTCATCCTACAAATGATGCTATCATATCCAGGATCCATGTTCCAAATATTTTAAGAGATGACAATCACAGCCAAGGCCAAGGCCATCATTATCCAAAGTACCATGTTGGAAACCACTGGATACTCAAAATTATACTTATATGCAAGTTTATAGGGACTTGGTGGGCTCTCCTCTTGTTTTGCCTCAAGGATAGTCCTTGTCTTCCTCACAAAGGATGTGTCAAATGATCGGACAGTCACTAGCTCTACCACTGCATTCCCATCATAAAGACTATACATGTCATCTGCAAACTTTCGCACAGCATCAAGAAGGACCTTAGAAGCATCTCTGAATTGTTCAGAACCTTCTCCGTAATGTTTCCCAATTTCATCCAAACCTGCCAGCTCCAGTGCATATAAATCAGGAGAATGATCCTTGGCTAGGTGCTCATGCTGAGACAACAAACCTGAAATATCACACAGAACTAGCAGTTCAGAAAGAAAGAGATCAACTTCATTGTCTCCACTTAGAGAACTGAGGGGAAGTGAATTAAGAATAGAGTTTTCTTGAAACAGGCGATTGTGGAGCTGTCCTAACGTGACTGAAAGATCAAAAACTGAGTTTGCCTTCCCCACCATATGCTCTCTTTGCTCAGTAGGAGCCACCTGCAAAACTATTGGTGTTTCTTCAGAAAATAAGGAGTGAATGGAATTTGCCACGCTGTCAAGACTAAAAGGAGCTGCATTCTCCAGAGGATAAGAAAGGACACTGCCTGAGAGTAGAAAAAGTTTGTCTATTCCCTTCACCATCACCATAATGGTAGCTCGAAGACGACGGAACAGGTTACCCACAAGTCCCGGCCAAGGAATGTCTTCTTGCACAGAGAAGCGCATGGCTAACGCAGCCACGTCTGGGATTCGCTCTCCTGGTATAGGCCAATTTCCATCACGGAAAACAACATACTCTGGTGATCTTAATATACTAAACTCGTTCCCCAACACACCCACCACCAAGGACAGAAGCACTACGAGCAGAGCCACGGTTCCGCGCTGGCCGCAGCAGTGCAGGGCAACAGGCAGCGGGCTGGCGGAACATGAGTGGTCCCCGCAGCACCAGCGGGTGACGCGTTCTGGCTCGTCCTAGCACCATGAGACAGCTCGGTCGTCATGGTCACCTCCGCTGGGATGGCTGCTGCTTTCTCCAACAATCTCCAGCTACCAATAAATGTGTATTTGTATTTAAAATTTGTATTTTATATCTACAACCGAAGTTATTAAAATTAACAGGAACTTAAGAATTTATTAAGCTTTTGCACACTACCAAGTTGTTTTTTGATCATTCAAAAAGTGCTCTGAGTAGTCCAAAACATCACCGAAACTGTAATGGCTGACACAATGTTGTGGCAGATATTCAGAAAGGCAGACTCCAAGGTATTCTGCAATGACAACAAAGTCATTTCCGATTAAAGCAATGTTTAGAGGGTCCAGCAATTCAATTTCCTCCTGATAGTGTCAGTAAGCTTTTAGCAACCGAGAAATATAAACGGACAACTCAGTAATTTTTCTGACCTGTACTTATACCGATTTAGCTATAGGCCTTTTGAATAATGCCATCATATTGCAAGACAAGGACATTCTGACTGGTAATATGCCTTGAGCTATAGCTATTTCACTCCATCAACTAAGAGTCCACGTGTCAGGTAATTATTATAGCTCTTTATCTGAGATAAAGATGCTATTTCCCATGTTAAATTTAATGACACAGGTACTATAAATGATGGAAAATAAAAATAAAAAAAGAGATGAAATAATAGTGAGCATACATGTACCATGCTGGAACTTTGTCTTCTTTCATACTGAACTGGCATGATATAGTTTAGAATAGAGAGCTGGTCTGTGGTATCCTCCAGAACTGCAGAGATCCTCAGCACATCTAGAATGGAAAGTGGCTCTATGACTTCTGGGATGGTATCTATGCTTGTTTCTTTGGCTGTTTCTTCCTCTTCTACAACACTAGGTGGTTCGCCTGTCACTGACACAGTCACCTCAGAATGCCACGTTTTTGCAGGAAGATTTGAGCCTTCCAGTTGGCCTCTGGAAAAAGAATAAAGGAAAAGTAAGTCAGCCACCAAATGTTTTAAAATTATTTCGATTCAAAAGTTAAAGCAGCATGTACATTGGCTCCTGTGAAATCTGTATCATTATGCAATATAACCAAGAAAAAGAACAAAAGTAGGAGTTTGCATGTGATTCTGCTAAATACCTCTCAGTGACATTTTGACCAACCACAGGCAAGGTACTTAGTGTTTAGCAAAGTTATGTAATCCATGCAATTTTACTATGCTTAACCAACCTGAATTTAAACCAAAATCAACTTTTTTCCTAGCAACATCTTTAGAAGCTAACCAAGTGTCTCACAATTAGTGAAATACAGAATGTGCTAGCTAGTCTCCAAGGTGGCCCATATGATTCTCATCTTCATGCCCTATTGCAGTTTCCCCCACATTGAATAGGACTAACCTATGTAACGAAACAGATATTGTGAGTTCCAAGGCTAGGTGATAAAAGACATTGCAGCTTCTACCTTACTCTCTCCTCTCTCTCACGCTGTGGGAAACCAGCTGTCTTGTCAAGAGGACAGCTCTATGGATAGATTCATGACGGTGAGGAACAAAGGCCTCTTGCCAACAGCCAGCATCAACATGCCAGCTCTACAAGTGAGACATCTTGGAAATAAATCCTCCAAACCCAGTCAAGTGTTAGATGACTGCAGCCCTGGCCAACCTTATGAGACCCCATGCTAGAACCATCCATCTAAACTGCTCCCAAATTCCTGACCCACAGAAACTGTGAAATAATAAATCTTCATATTTTAAGTAGCTAAGTGTTGGGGTAATTTGTTACACATCATTAGATAAGTAATACACAGAAATTTAACATAAGGGATAATTTAAATAAATAAATACACAATAAATTGAATAAATACATACAAAATAAATAAATACAAAAAATAAATTGAAATTTTGGACATACTCTTCCATCTTCTTAAGTTAGTTTTGTTAATATCCAAGATACATTTAGAATCTCACAAAAATGAAATAACCTAAAATGGAAAGAAAACATTGAGATTAGTTTGAGTATTAAATGACATTTAAGTAATTTCTATGTTCTTTCAGAGAAAATTAAATTACAAGAGCTGTGGCTTATCTCCTTTTTGCTTATTAGAAAGGTCCTAGAGATTGAAGAACCATCATGTGGTGCAGTTCTAGTAAATCACTAGCTTAATTATTAGCAGATAAATGCAATCTTTGAGTCTCTCCTTGAGGGAAATTGATATCCAACATGGTTTTCATATTTTTATGGTATTCTGACTTTGTAAAATTGGTAATCTCTATATGATGGATTTACTTTTCTGTTATACAGATTACAAAAATATTTAATTAGATTACTCTGTTCCCCTGATCTGTCCAATTACAGATTCTTTCTTTACTCCACCTGGACTTAATATCTGAGATTACACTTAGAAAAATATATTTATCCTGAAAATCAGTTTAATACATCTATCAGGATGTTACCATTCCTCAATAAACCAAAGTCCTTTCTGCTTAAAAAAGCTTAAAATTCTCTGTGGAAAATTTTGCTGTATACTGAATGAATAGTGAATGGTAAGTTTTCAGTGTGATTTTCTGAAATCACAATAAAGTGATCCACAATAAAGTGATCCTGAGAAGGGTGGTACAAATGTCTCACACAATGAAAACTTCATGTGCAAAAATACAAACATATAAAACAGGATGCTTATGTATACTGAAAAAAAAATCCACAATGCAAACTAGCCAAATTTTCTGGGGCAAGGGCAGTCTTAGGAGAAAGTAGTGTGGTGTTTTAAGATTCTGTTCTTTTGTTGTGGTGTTGTTTATTTTTCCATTTTTTCATCTTGGGGCATGGGTCAATGTGCTTCATATAAGTAAAATAGGGCTACGTGTATGCAGTATTCAGTGCTTTTGTGCTGATCTAGCTTCTCACTTCCTCCTTCATCTTGACATCAGCATCCTTCAATCAAAACCATCACCAAGTCCTATGGATCTTACCTCGTATTTCCATATTCCCCAACTCCATGCTGGACCATGTTGTTTCTTGCTTGAACTACTCTAATGACATCCAAATCAGAAGTGATCTTTTAAAAATGAAAGACTGATCTTTTAAAATTGAAAAAATGATCATCTCTCTGTGTAGAACCCATCAATGATTTCCAATTGTCTTGGTACAAAAACTGAAATTCTTAACTATGCCCGTAAGGCCTTCATGATTTGCTCCCCCCGCCCGCCCCTTGTTCCTCCCCAGATCCATTTGGCACTGTCCTTTTGCTCTCATGGCTCCAGCATCAATGGTCTTCCTCCATTTCTTAAATATAAAAGAAAAACAACAAAATGGAGTTGATATTGTCAAGAGAGCAATCTAAAAGGGAGCCAGAAGTCCTCTGGGAAGCTGAGTTAACTCATTTCCCTTTATGTGAAACTGAACTTTTGAACTGGGCTAAACTAATCAGTTACATCCCAACACAGTTCCTAGACATGACTCTGCATCAATGAACTCTCCAATAAACAAAATAAAATTTTCACCTAGCAATAGATATAACCAATTAATCACATATAGCATCATAGTGTCAGTCCATTTGCCAGCACCAATCACAAGTTTTTCAAAGCCATGTTTGATCCCTTAGGAAGCCCCCTTTTAATGTCTTTACAAACTCTACTTTCTTTCCCCCTTAGAACATAGTTGAGGTTTCTACCCAAAATCTGTGTCTCCCAGACTGCAATTCCTAAGATCCCCAAATAAAGCTTTTGTTTGCCTTGCAATTCTTATTCAAAATTAATTGACATATGGAATCACGCTCCATTTCAACTCGAACTCTTCCTCTCACCTCTTTATCTTGTCAAGTCCCACCATGTGGCATTTTGCTAGGTATCTGCCTTTTGCACCTCTAGACCCACATTCACCATTTTCTGTGCCCTGAGACTGATCTGTATGCATCAATGGGAGAGATTCCAAAAGAGATCCAAAGTATAAGATTGTAAGGTTGGTGTTTATTCCCACAGCTCCTTCCCTGCCAGATCACCACTGGTTGGCTATGTTTCTTTACCAAACGCCATGGCTACTGTCAGGCAAACCTCTCCAGATTGCTCTCTCCAGGGCTCAGGTAATCTCTTCCCCATGTGCCTGGAGACTGCATTATCCCTTATAGTTTCACTCTTGCCTACACCTTTGTAAGCAAACTCCTTATTCTCTTGAACTCTCCCAACTCTTTCCTTCCAGGACATTGCGGCACTGACACAATGTCCTACAATGACATGCATACATTTTTATATACAGTATACGAGGCTTATCCAGAAGAAGTCCAACCATTGTTAATGTAACAAGAACTGTTTGCCCGACATTGATGTAACCTGGCAGCCAAGGAGAGTGGATTGGAATGCACATGTGTGAACAATGATGACTTCATTGTACTAGTCAGTGGGAGAGGTACACTGTTAAGCATGTATACTGCATGGCCATCACAGTCAAAATGACTGAGTGAGTAGAGCAACAAATCTGCATCAAATTTTGTGTTAAGCTTGGACATTCCTCTGCAGAGACTATTCGGAGGATTCAGAAGGCCACAGCTATGGGCAACTGGTGATGGGCAGCTTTATCAAGACAACACACCAGCTCATGTATCATGTCTTGTGCAGAGTGTTTTGGTGAAACATCAAAATACCCAAGTGACTCAGACCCTCTATTGCCCAGATATGGTGCCCTGCCACTTCTGGTCTTTCCCAAAACTAAAATCACCTTTGAAAAGGAAGAGACTTCAGACCGTCAGTGAGAGTCAGGAAAATACAAGGTAGTTGATGGTGATTAGGGAAACTGTGTGAGGCCCCAAGGTGCCTACTTTGAAGAGGTCTGAGGAGTCATTGTCCCACATACGTTTCTTGTATTTTGTATCTAATTTAAGAAATGTCTATCTTTCATATTACATGGCTAGATACCTCTGGACAGACCACACACACACACACACACACACACACACACACACACAACATACGTTTTACAAAACAATTTACCTATAATATAGGCAATACATTCTGATATTTTTGATTCTACCATATTTTGCTTAAAAAAAAAGATTATAATCATGATCTACTAATGGGACACCACTGCAGTTTGAAAAATACCTTAACTGACACTTCTGCAAGTAACATTTTCCCCAACTCATCAGGCTGAATCAAGATCCCTCTGTTCAAGCACTTACTGCACTTGCTTTCCTGCAGAATTCTCTTCACTATTTGTAATGTTTATGTCAGTTTCCCCCATTAGACTGTTCAGTTCCATGTGATCAGAAACCATGATAATGATACTGTAGTATCCTAAGTTTCAGGCACTATGTTAAATAAGTATCTGTACAATAGGATGAGTGAGTGAATGAACAAAGGAATAAAACTCACAATGTGTTATTCCTCCCAGGAGTACTTTTCTGGTACATTTAATAGCAGAATTGCTAGCACATTCTCTAATAGTGGGGTTTCCAGTATATTTTTGGGACAGAGAAAATTGATGAGGAGGGAGTGGGATATAAAGGTATGTAAACTCAATGCTGATGTATTTTAAGGATTTGATTTGAAATATGATTGATACACATCTCTTCTTTCTCATTTCTTACCCATCATCAAATCTGGTGTTACATTTAAAATACATCCAGGATTCCAGTACTAATCACCTTTGTCTATACCCATAATTTCTCATCAAAATCTTTACATTAGCTTCCTAATTGATCTCCATGCTGGCACCCTTGTTTCCCTTCAGTCCCAACACATTGAGCGTGTTAAAACGAAAAGTCAGATTGATTAACTCCCCTGTAGAGAATTCTCAAATGGCTTCCCATTTCAGAGTAAAAGACTCCTTAAAAAAAAAAAAAAAAGGTTTTATTTATTTTTAGAGAGGGGAAGGGAGAGAAAGAAACACGGATCAGTTGCCTCAACTGGGGACAGAACCCACATCACAGGCATGTACCCTGTCTCGGAACAAACCAGGGACCCTTAACTTAGCTGAACCACGCCCAACAAACTGAACCATGCCAGTCAGGACTAAAAGCCTTCTTTTAGTCCTTCTTGCTTAATTTTTCTCCATAAAGAAAAATTTTCCCACATCATCTTCTAATGTGCCATATATTTTACTGATTGTCTTGCTCCCCTACTAGAAAGCAAGCTCTATCCGGGCAGGGATTTCTGTTGTTTTGTTTACTGCCAAGAACAAAGCTTAGGACATGAGAGCCATTCGATAAACTGTACAATAAATTAATGGATCCATCGAGTAACCCAAATAAATGTGCAATAATTACGAAAAGTAAATTTCCGACGTCCACTAATCGATCTCATGCTCATCTCCACAACTAATTACTGAAGACCTATTACGTGTGTGCACAGAGCTAGGCCCGGTGTTGGGAGCCTGGACAGTTTGCCTGGTCTTTGGATGGGTTTTTCTTGTAAAGGAGTAAGACTTGCCCTAATCGGTGTGGCTCAGTTGGTTGGCGTCTTTCAGCGTCACCGCTGGATTCCGGGTCAGGGCACTTGAGGTTCGGTCCCCTAGTCGGGACTCGTAGGAGAGGCAGCCAATCCCTCGCCCTCTCCTTCCCTTTCTCCTGTCTAAAAATAAATAAGTAAGTAAGTAAATAAATGTTTTAAAGAAATAAGTCCTTTTCAGCGTAGTCTATAATCTCAGGAACAAAACAAAGGACAGAGGTAAGAATTTAGGTCATTTCTGCAGAGATATAGGAGTGTAAGGAAGAACGGGGGGTAACGATCAGAGCTCCTCCCTCCCTGCTACCGGCCTTTCTTTTCCAGGCCAGGATCCGTGTCTCAGATCGCCCTACTCCTGTGTTGTAAGAGGAAAAGATACCCCAACGTGGGCGAATCAAATCTGCAAGTCTGGAGTACCCGAGGCCGGGGAACGTCCTCCAATCCGGCTTCACTTTTTCCACCTACTTTAAAGCGACGACGCAAGAACCGGACTAAGGTGTTTCTATAGCAACACGTAGCTTTATGGGTCCTTTGAGTCTCGTCCTCTGGCTGGCTACCACTTTTGCCTACCCCTGTTCCAAAATAATACACCCTGCAGCCTACAAAGATGAAATGAATTAGGGGAAAAAAATTGTAAGAGTGCTCTTGAATGTGGCTTCGTTCAGTCAGAAAAGGATTTCTAAGGCTTTCTTTTTGGCAGTTGCGGAAGATGCCTAAACTGGGGGCGGGGCGGAGAGATGTTTATCCCACAAGGCCAAGCGGCGGAGTCTCGCTTTCCTTTTTCCGCCATCTTGAAGCCTGTAGAGGTGAGTTGGGTTCTTGCTGCTGAATTTTGGGAGTGAATAACTGCAGTGGTTTCCAGCGCATATGTCGGCGAGGCAGTGCTGTGGCACGGAGGCTGAGCTAGGCATTGATTGCTGTGCATTCCAGCAGCAGGGAGGACAGGATGGAGGAGATGTAGGACTGATGGTGTTGGTCCCCTGACGTCCCGAGAACGGGTGCTCGCATAATCATAGTTGCTTTCTGGGCCCTAAGGGAGTGAAGTAGATGCACTTCGTCTGCATTTACCTTTTTGAGACAGTGGCTGCTTTTGTCTGGGTTGTTCTGTTTGCTGCCCCTCCTGCCTGGCTTTGCTTGTCTACAACGTCTTCAGCTTTTCTTTTATTCATTGGTTTAAGGGGTGAGAGGGAAGGAAAAGAGAAGAGCTCCTCTCTTCTGTGTTCTCTTTGTGTTCCCGGTGCTTATCTGACTCCTTGACCTTTTTTTTTTTCCTTTTGTAGGATTTTGGAGATTTCTAGGGGTTATTTTAGTATACAGTCTTGCCACTTTCGTTTCATTTTGGAGTTTGTTTAGCTATCAGGCATTCTCTAAGGTTGGGATGTCTTGCCAGACTGCACATTATGTAGCTGGTACAGTACGATTACGTTTCCCCATGCTCTTAACGCGAAATGCCGATCAGAAAGTTACTTACCTAACAAGCTTAAGAAACAAGAAGGGAACTAGGTGGTGAACGTGCGTTGCAAGATTTTAAACTGATTCTTTTTATTTGAAAGCCTGCTGGGAACAGGACTTCTACAACGACAAGTATGTCTGGAAGGTACGCGTTTTTAACATAATTGCTTTATTGTACATTTTTATTAGGCCCGGACCTAAGTAAATGCGAGCTTTAAACTGGGGGCGGGGGGGGGAATTAGATGTTTGCTATAGATAACTTTTGGGTAGGGGTCATTCCAGGTGAAAGAAATCATACTGGTTGAAGTGAGGTATGATAACAGTTTATGGTTGATACGTCTTTTCTGTGTCTTAGGCTGTGGTCCAAGGCCATTTTTGCTGGCTATAAACGGGGTCTCCGGAACCAGAGGGAACACACAGCTCTTCTTAAAATTGAAGGTGTTTATGCTCGAGATGAAACTGAATTCTATCTGGGCAAGAGATGTGCCTATGTGTACAAAGCAAAGAAGTAAGTCTATAGTATTGCCATGCTTTATTAAGATACCATAGAGCACTTTTTACATACCTTTATTTTGTTGATTCCTTGAAATTATATTTTATATACATACTTAAAGATGTTATGTCTCTATAGTATTGATTCTTTATCCTGGTTTCATAAACCCATTCCAGACCAATTAAAATCTCTAGGTACATCCTTTCATCTTTGTCTTCCTTTCCTCCTGTACCCAGAGTAATCCTTTAAATTACGTCACATCATCTGTACATTGCTCAAACTGCAGCTGAGCCCCATGTCATTTAGTAAAAGCCAGCGTCATTAAAGACCCTAGGCATTCAAGGTTTTCTATATCTACTCTTCAGCCAGCCAGAATTCACTCCTTGGTCTCTTTAGCCTTTCCCCAAGCAAGGGAAATCACCACCTCAGTTTTTGTTTCAGTGTTATCTTTTCAGTGAGGCCTTCCTGGCTATTTAAAATTTGAAACACAAATATTTTCAAACTACTTGCTCCCCTTTTCTTTTTCAGTATTGCAGATCCTATATTACATTCTGTATATTTCATTTACATATAACTTAGGGTTATATACTTGTTTATCCTCTGAAAGGGATTTAATATTTTGCAAACTACTACATTTGACAAAATTTTAAAAAAATACTTTTATGAAAGTTTTTGGCATATAGTAGGTATGGTACTCAAGTATTTGTTAAAAGAGTGATGCCCTGGGGTTTTAAATGGTGGCTTGAGTGGTTAACTAGGGTTGAGAGCCACTAGTGTAGATGTTGCTTTGTATTTGTACCACATTATACACATTGTACTAATTGTTTGGCTTCTTACTCCCTTTTAAAATCAGCAACACAGTGACTCCTGGTGGTAAACCAAACAAAACCAGAGTCATCTGGGGAAAGGTAACTCGTGCTCATGGCAACAGTGGCATGGTCCGTGCTAAATTCCGAAGCAATCTTCCTGCTAAGGCCATTGGACACAGAATCCGTGTAGTAAGTACAGTTATTAGCAGTATGATACCCTATTGAGTCAAACTAAGCTCAAGGTGTTGTACTTTGAGCTCTAGGAACTATTTTGATTATAAAATGTCACCAGTAAGATTATGCTGCAAAATTAGTGGCTCTGTTTAAATGTATTATGGAACATCAGATTCTTGGCATTAGAAGGAAAGTGAAGGCAAAATTTTCAAATAAATCAGATTTTGCTAAAGTTGTGTAAGGGGAAAATAGTACGGAAGTGAATAATTTTCTTGCAAAAATATTTATTTGGTGCTGACGTAGTTGCTAGAAAATTAAAAACATACTGTTTCCTGGCATAATAATTACTCTGATCTCTTCATCATGACAGTTGTGTTAGAATAGGTGGTTTCAGTCTTATTTTGTAGAAGAAAACTGATGTTCATGTTTGTAGGTCCCAGGACTTTGGCCCAAGTCTTTGATTCTAGATCCTGAGGTTTTCTAAAATAACTCCTGTTTTCTTTAGTTAGGATCTATTTTTAATAGTCATGGCCATAGTCTTGAGGTCATGAAGTACTTTTGAACCTTGCTGAGCAGTTACGGGCCTTACCAAAGAAAGCTTTTTACCATCATTAAAAGAAGCAAAATTAAATGAACTTTAAGTGCTCCCAGAATGGTTCTTAATCAAAACACATTCACTTAAAAGCAGAAGGCTATAAAACTTGGTTCCTTACCCACCTGCATATGTCATTGGATGCCTTTCAGAGACAAGTAAAAGGACAATGGGAGATTTATCCATGTTGTGTCAATAACATTTGTAAATTTGTATATAACATGCACCTAATGACAATGTGTTCTTTTTCCCCCCTCCAGATGCTGTACCCCTCAAGGATTTAAACTTAACTGAAAAGCAAATAACAGCCCTGACTGGTGTGGCTCAGTTGGGTTAGGGCACATGGTTGGGTGGCAGGTTGATTTAGTTCCTGGTCAAGAAGCAAACGGGAGTCAGATGGTGAATGTTTCCCTAACATGTCAATGGTTCTCATCCTCTTTCCCCCTCCCTTCCCTCTCTAAAATAATAAATAAAATCTATTTTAAAGAGTAAATAAAATGGATTTGTTTCTCTTGTGTTTTTATTAGGTGACTTAAAAATCACTTTGCCCTAAATTCACTTACTGTATGCTTAAATGGTGGCAGTTATCAGGTATGAAAGAAGTTAGAGGGGTATATGTGTGATGAAATTTCAGTTGGGAACAGTGTTAAAAGGAGTAACTTGGAAGTTTTATAGTGGTGGAGCACTTATCCACCAACTCTGTCTCTGTTCTCCTTGTTTGCATAGTTAATTTTTTTAGATTCAATTGTTGATAGGTACTTATTGCCATTTTATTGTTCATAGTTTTGATCTCTTAAGTCCCTTTAACATTTCATATAATAATGGTTTGGTGGTGATGAACTCTTTTAGTTTTTTTTCTTGTCTGGGAAGCTCTTTATCTGCTCTTTGATCCCTAAATGATAGCTTTTTTGAGTAGAGCAATTTTGGCTGTAGGTCCCTGCTTTTCATGACTTTGAATATCTCTTGCCAATCCCTCTTAGCCTGCAAAGTTTCTTTTGAGAAATCAAAACCCCTGTAGGTAACTAACTTCTTTCTTGCCGCTTTTAAAATTCTCTCTTGTCTTTAGCCCTAGCTGGTGTGGCTGGCTCAGTGGATTTGAGTGCCAGCCTGCGAGCCAAAGTGTTGGAGGTAGATTCCCAGTGTAGGGCACATGCCCGGGTTGCAGGCCAGGTCCGCAGCAGGGGCCACGTGAGGTGCAACCACACATTGATGTTTCTCTTCCTCTCTTCCTCCCTCTCCCTCTCTAAAAACATAAAATTATCTCTTTAATCTTTGGCATTTTAATTATGTGTCTTGGAGTGGGTCTCTGCATCCATCTTGTTTGGGACTCTGCTTCCTGGATTTGTATGTCCATTGCCTTCACCATATTAGGGAAGTTTTCTCATTGTTTTTTCAAATAGAGTCCCAATTTCTTGCTCTTTGTCGTCTTCTGGCACCCCTATGATGCGAACGTTGAACCTCCTGACGTCCCAGAGGCAGCTTATACGGTTCTCATTTTCTTAGGATTCTTTCTCATTCTGATTATTTTAATTTTATTTTTTGGCTTCCTTATGTTCCAAGTCATTGATTTGATTCTCGGCTTCATCCACTCTATTGTTTCCCTGTAATTTGTTCTTTATTTCAACTAGTGTATCCTTCGTTTCTGACTGGGTCTTTTTTGTGCTGTTGAGGTCCTCACTAAATTCTTTGAGCACACTTACAACCAGTGTTTTGAACTCTGCATCTGATTGCGTGTATCCATATTTTTTTTTCATTCTTTTTCTGCAGTTTTGATACGGTCTTTCATTTGGGCCATGTTTCTTTGTCTCCTCATTTTGGCAGCCTCCCTGTGTTTGTTTCTATGTATTCGGTAGAGCTGCTATGACTTCCTGTCTTGGTAGCATAGCCTAATGTAGTAGGTGTCCAGTAGGTTCCAGTGGCTCTACCTCCCCTATCATTCAATCTGGGTACTCAAGGTGCAAACCCTGTGAGGGCTGAGTACACCCTCCTCTTGTAGTTGAGCTTTGGTTGCTGTCAGTAGGTCAATGGGAGGGATTTAACCTGGCCAGTCAGCTGCTAGGATTGGCTGTGACCACTGATCACCAACCTCCACCCTCTGTGGAGGATCAGCTGTGCAGGAGCAGGGTGGTGGTGCTCCCACATGGTCTGAAAACTGTCCACTGGGTGTGCTGGCCCTGGGGTTTCCTTGGTGGTGCAGGCCAAGTTCAGCCCCAGCCTGTATTTTGCCTGGGCCCTGCCTGAGCTATAAAGCAATCGGGATGGCTACTGCTTGTGCTAACCTTGGAGATTCCCAAATAAAGCCAAGCTGTGAAACTAGGCCGGCTGCTGCTGCTCAGTTTGGGGTTCACTGAGGTCAGGTGTTGCTTGTTTGAGAGGATTTAGGAAGTTGTACGGTATGAGCCAGGACCAGCCGTTCTTAGGAAAAGCAGCTTGGGTAGGCCCATAAGTTGGGTGGGGCAGAGTCTCTGGGGACCTCCAAAGTGGGTCAAACAATGTCAGCCAAATTGATAGAGTCTCAGATATGGCACCAGCTTGCTGGTTCCACCTGGATGGATGTGGTTTCTTTAATTTCGTAGTCAGACTTCTATTCAACTCAATTTCTGGCCATTCTCAGTGGTGGCGGTTCTATCTTTTAGTTGTAATTTTGATGGGGTTGTGCAGAGAGATGAGCCATACCTGCCTACGCTGCCATTTTGACTGGCAGTTAACTGAGTTTCTTGAGCACTGAAATAGACTGGGCTCCATAAATACTAACAATTTTGAAACCACATGGAGAGTATTCAAGGGCTACATGTTTCTACCTTTGGTTGCCTAATGGGTAATACATTTACAAAGTTAGGGAACCAGGAGATGGCTTTTTTTGGTTTATTTCTTTTGCAGGGGTAGGGGAGTTGGTGAGCTGAGGAGACTTAGGATGCTACGCCTAGAATGTGTCCTGGAAGGCAGATGGATATTCAGGTTTGGACTAGTCAAGTAGAGGAAAGGAAAAGAAATCTCAATGCATGTCACCTTTGTAGGAGTGAAGTGAATGTGGTGGTGTGAGTGGGATAGATGATGGTAGAGCAGTGGGGGTGAATACACAAGAAGTGATAGGCATTTGAGCAAATTAGGGAATAGAAAGGTGATAGTCTTTAGGATAACTTAAGTAAATGCAGTAGCAAAGGAGCCTTGCATGCAAATTCATTCTTTTTCAACTGATGAAATGCAGCACTTATAAATGAAGGTGCATGCACTATTCTGTTCTCATAATGAGGTTTGGTCAGTGCAAAAGTAGTCCTGAAGCCAAAGTTACCATTGGATGAGTTCCATGTTTCACAGAAATGAGCTTGAGTGGCTAGCACCTTTTCTGTTAAACCACTAAAACAACCTCTCCCACAATGGCGCTACTATTACAATCAGGAACTTGAAGATTACTGGAGTTCTTTGTTGACAATCCCCAATTTCTTTGGGGTTTTGTAGTGGAAACAGCACATTTTCTGAAAGTGATAAATTTGTTTTGGAATCCAACTTACATAAGTTGTGGGATAACAGACACATTATCTGATGAGTCTTGTAAAATGCCCCACCCCTACTACATTATTTGAGTACATGATCTTCACGGATGAAATATCAAGTTTTAGGGACTTCATATTCTTCCTACCCATGTGGTTCCTAGTATAGTAATTTACCATATCCACTTCCTGCTGAATGACTGTCCCAGCTAAGCGCTTCCAGTTTCTAGTTTTAATTTTGTTTCCTCATGGGTAATAGATTTGTCCCGATTTTCAAAATTTTTTGTAGTTCCTCACAGCTCAGTTTATTTCTTGTATTTTTCCCATTACCATTTATCCCCTTTATGCCCTCTTCCACCTTCACCCACACCCCTTCCTTCCTCAGTCACCACACTGTTGTCCATGTCCGTGAGTCCTTTCCCTTTTTTGCTCGATGCCTCCACCCAGAAACCCCCACCCTCCTCTACTGCTCAGTTTTGAAGGTTGTGTCCTTAATTTTAAACATCCACCCAATCTCTTATTGGGTTAATACAATTTCAATTTTTTGTTTTTAAATAAGGGATGAGGTTGAATAATAAAAGACACATACATCATTGCTTTTACAGTAAATGACTTTAGAAGAAATGGGCCTGCAATTGGTGACTTATGATAAGTAAAAATTAAAAGTATATTCCATTCACCTTTTGTACATAGGGCTATACCATTAAAAATTCTGCAGCAGTTTGTTTTTCTAAGCCACCTGGCACGTCGTGGGTGCATATCTTTTCCGTTACTAACTGAATTAAAGACTGAAAAACCACTCAGTAAAGACATTTACACCTCACTATCCCTATTACCATCAATATCACTTGCCAACTCTCCCATGCCAACTCACGTGGGCCGCTAAACGGTATTTATAGGCTGGCTTCACGCAAGGAAGCACGTCTCCTGTTCGCGGTGAACTTCTTACGGATGACGCTAGCCAATCGAAAAACAGCTTTTCGCCAGCTGCCCCCCCCTCCACCTGTCCTGAGCGGTGAGAGGCGGGGCTGGCGCCGGGAGCGGAGGCGTCACGTAGTCCGTGGTAACGACGCTCAGCCCAAAGATGGCGCCCGAATGGGTTAGAGGAGCGGGTTTCTCGGGTTCAGGCCCGGGCCCAAGCCCAAGCCCAAGCCACTGGTTCTGGAGCGGTACTTTATGGGGCCGAGGCGTTTTACTGCTGTTTGGCACGTTATGGGCAAGCGCTACATCTGTTACTGTCTCCTTGGACAGTTCACTTCCCTGCCGGCACCACGTCCCCTCTGACACTGAGGTAGGGTGGCGGAGGGGCGGGAGCGGGCCCGGTGAGCGTAAAGTAATACGGGAGGCAGTGGCACAGAGAGTAGTAATTGAAACAGGGTGTACGGGAGGAGGAAGCTAAGTTGGGCCACAGAATGAACTCTTGGAAGATCGAGACGTGCCATCGATTCCCTTTCTACACCCAGCGAAGTGGCTGAGTGGCACTCAGAACATCATCACTTTCCTGTGCGGAGATTTGTGCGTAGCTGGTAGTCCTAGGGTAGTGGTTTTCAAATTTGGGCATACATCACAGCCACCTGAAGGGCTTGTTAAAACACAGACTGCTGCCCAACTCCCCTTCTTTCTGACTTTTTAGGTCTGGGACGGGTCCCCAGTATTTGTAGTTCAAGTTCCCAGATCGTTGGTGATGCTGCTTGTCCAAGGACCACATTTCTAAAGGTTTGGGAAGCAATTGATTAGAGAACCAAAGGCATTGGAGAGATACTGGGAGTTTTGTGGAGACAAAAGTCAGATTTATTTTCAAATTACTTCATCACATTGCTTGCTTTACCCTGTTCTCCTTCACTGGAGGTGCCTGCCTCCTTCCCACTCCGTTTTTCTTACTGTCTAAATTCTTTCAGTCTCAGTTTAAGTTCCCATAGCTCAAGTCGCTCTCCTGAAACCATGCCAGCAGAATGCTCTTTCCATTTCTATGCAGGTCTTACATATACTCTCTTCTGTCACTTAATGAGGTACTACTGTGTGGTGCTGGCTTATTTTTTAGGCGTGTCTTGCCTTTGTAGTTAAAAACTTTAAAATATATATATGTATTTTAAAGGTCTTATTTTTTAGAGAGAGGGGAAGGGAGGGAAAAAGAGGAGAGAAACATCCATGTGGAAGAGAAACATCAGTCGCATGTCCCCAACCTGGGACCTGGCCAGCAGCCCAGGTGTGTGTCCTGATTGGGAATCGAACTGGTGACAGTGACCCCTCACTTTGCAGGACCACGCTCAATCACTGAGCCACACCAGCCAGGGCTGTAAATTGTAAGGTTCCTTAGAATAAAGTTCCTGTCTTATGCTTTGACTACTTGCTCCACAGTACTTAGCGTAGAGGAAGGGCTCACAACAATCACTATTCTTTGAGGAAAGGAAACGCAGTACCTGGGGCAGGGCGGCATATTGTGATTGGTTGTACAATTTATCTTATTACTTTATCAAGAAATATTAACCTAGAAATTTTCAGTTCAGCCCAGAAATGTAAAACCACTCATTTTTGTGGTAATTTACAAAAATTTCTATGCGTACTATTCAACCATATGTGCCAAAGTATTACATTTGGGGTTTATAGTGGTATTACAGTTTTTATCAGGACACTGCATTTTGGCTGAAGTATTTTTTTAGGCACTTAGCAACTTTTAAGTTTATAATACATTATTATACTATATACTATACTACACTATAATCACTGTGCTAATGCATTAGATTTCCAGGATTTATTTATCTACTCCTCACAAGTTTGTACCCTTAAACAACATATTTCCAGTTCCCCCACCCCTCTGATAAATTCTTTTTAAAACAATTACCACAAAGCCCTGTGCTTCTCTCTTTTAACTTAGATTGAAATAAGAGGAAGTAGTTCAAAGACCTGCAAAATATCTGCTCGAAGGAAACTTAATAGCTGTTTTCTTCTAGTGATTTTTGCCAGTGTCCAAATTTCCAAATGCTATTTGAACATCTACATAAATAAGGGAATTAAGTCCAGAGGCAGCCCCTTTACTTTTTGGAGACCAGCACTGTTAAAGTTTTTCTTTTTATAAGAGCTGAAAACTCTGAAACATCCATGCCCTTTCCCCCTGCCCCAATTCCTATTTATGCCTCTTGGCTAAACAAACTCAGTAGTGACAGTGTTTCAGATATTAAAAGCAAGATATCAAGTTCTTGACAGTCCTCATCCCTAATAAATTTTACTAGTTCTTAGTAAAGTATGTAATAGCAAGCCCTTTTAACCATTTTCTGCTTTAACTAGAACACAATATAGGCAAGAACTGTGCATTCTATTCTTACTAGTTACATGCTACAGGAAATTATAATAACTTTGTGATGGTGGTGGGGAACCACAAAACATTTTGACTTATTTAACATGTTCTCAATGAAAACCTCTGTGTTTTGTTTTCTTTTTCACTTTTTATTATATAAATTAAAACCAAAAACAGACTAGTATAATGAATTCCCATGGTTCATCACCCAGCCTCAACACATCAATATTTTGCCATTCTTGTTTCATGTACTTCTTCCCATTCCCATCCTTCCACTTGCTACTTTTAAAAGCTTTGGGGGGGAGGGGCGGAGGAGGTAAAATTTACATATATTGAAATGCAACAGATGCAGTCATCTAAATCCATGTAAAACACAACCCAATTTTACTGTAGAACATTTCCATATCTTCAGGAAGTTCCCTTCTCTCCTGTGCCAGTCAGTCTCCCGTCCACCCCAGGCAATTATTGTACTGATTTTTATTTTACATTAGATTTAGATTTTACAACAGATCACTTTTGCCTGGTCTAGAACTTAGTTTGCATAAATAGAATGATATAGTATATATTATTATATGGTAGGTTATGTTGAATTTTCCAGTAGTAAATCAGCCTTGTATTTTTGGCATAGACCCTACTTGGTCATGATGTATTCTTTTTATATACCTCAAAATTCAACTTGCTAACAGATTTTTAAGGACTTTTGTATCTATGTTTATAAGTGATGTTAGTTTACAATTTCCTTTTTTTATCAAGTTTTTGATAGCAGAATTATCCTGGCCTCACAGAATAAGTTGGAAAGTGTTCCATCCTCTTATATTTTCTAAAGGAGTTTCTATAAAATTGAAATAAGCCCTGGCTGGTGCGGCTCAGTTGGTTGGAGCATTGTCCTACGCACCAAAGGGCTGGCATTTCAATTCCCAGTCAGGGGAGGTACCTAGGTTGTGAGTTTGATCTTTGGTTGGGGCATGCAGGGCAGCAGCCAGTTGGTGTTTCTTTTTCATATTGATGTTTCTGTCTCTTTTCTCCTTCTCTCCCCCTCTCTCTAAAATCAATTAACATATTTTAAAAAATTGAAATCATTTCCTTTAATTTTTGGTATAGTTCATAACTAAAACCACATGGGCTTGGAGTTTTCTTGTAGATAGTTTTTAAAATACCTTTATTGAGCTATAATTTATATACTGCACCATAAAATTCACCCCCTTAATTGTCCAGTTGATTGGTTTTTAATAGGTTTACAGAATTGTGCAACCATCACTACAATCTAGTTTTTGAAAATTTCCACCACTCCATAAAGGTCCTTTGTGCCCATTTATACTCAATCCTTATTTTCAAACAACTACTATGTAGGGGGGTTTAGATAAAACCTATTTCTCTGATACAAGTCTATTCATGTTTTCTATTCGATCTTGTCATTTTGAGTAACTTGTATTTTTCAAAGACTTTATTTCATTTGAATTGTTAAATTTACTGGCATAAAGTTGTTAATAATAATTGATCCTTTTGGGTGGAGAAAGTAAGAAGTTAGAAAATAGTCCCAGGGATGTAAAATACACAATAGGGAACATAGTCAATATTATTGTAATTACTACGTGTGGTGCCAAGTGGGTACTAGCCTTATCAAGGGAATCACTTAACAGATTATGTAATTGTCTAACTACTATGCTGAACACCTGAAACAAATATATAAAATAGTTATCTTTTGGTCTCTGTAGAATTTGGAGTGATATTTATTCGTTCATTTCTAACGGGATAATTGATGTTTATTCTGTTTATCTGAATCCAGTCTTGCTAGGAGATTACTAATTGTATTAATCCTTATAAAAACCAACTGTTGGCTTTGGTAATTTTCTTTAATGATATCTATTTTATTGTTTTCTGTTCTTGATTTAATTTCCTCTTTCTAATTATTGTGGATTTACTTTGTTCACATTGTTAGGTGGAAACTTAGATCTATGTTATGGAGCCTCTTTTTCTTTCTAACATAAACATTCAAAGATTCAAATTTTGCTCTAAGTAGGTACAACTTTAGCCGTACCTCACAGATTATGACATACTGTATTTTAATTATTGTGTAGTTCAAAGTGTTTTTTATTTTCCCTGGCAATTTCTTCTCTGATCCATGAGCTATTAAAAAATGTTTAAAATACAATTTCTAAATATTTGGTCTTTTCTAGATACCTTATGTTAATAATTTCTAATTTAGAGAGTATCTTCTATAAGATTTCAGCACTTTAAAATTTAAGATTGTTTTATTTATACTTCAGCATATGTTTTATCCTATTTAACTTTCATGTGTACTTGTAAAGAATATACTGTAGTTACTGAGTATAGGTTTCTATACATGTCAGTAGGTTCGGTGATTGACAGTTTAGTTCAGATTGCTATATTCTTATGTTTTTTTGCCTAATTGTTAGGGTCTTAAAAATCTCTAAGATTGGTTTCAGTCAAGATGGAGGCATAGGTAAACATAGTTTGCCCCTCTGCACAACTATAGCAAAAAATACAGCTACACTACAAAACAAATTTCACCCAAAATTTTCAGAAAATCAAGCCATGTCCAAGTCTGACAACAAAGAATTTAAAGAAGCCACATTCATCCAGATGGGTAGGAGGGACGGAGAGGTGAAGAGGCAGGGAGATGGGGACGGGTGGTCCCACTCCATGTGTGGTGGATAAAAAAATGGGAGGGATAGCTCAGGAGGGAGGAATCCCAGACACAGTCCAGACCATCCATCCCAGGATCCCAGCACCAGGAAGGTAAGTCCCTATAACTTTTGGCTGTAAAAATCAGTGGAAGAAACTGTGTCCTTCTAATGGGCCCACAATGGACTTGACTCACTCAAACACACCACCATCGGAATTCAGCACCAGGGCAACAGCCAGAAGGGCACTAGTGGCATATGGGGAGAAAGTGAAGCACAAGAGGAAGACAGCTTCCCCTCGGGCAAAATTCCAGAGGCCATGCAGTGACATTTTCTCCTCTCCAAGCCCTC